AAGGAAGTAAGCAAGATAGTATGATAAGGGCATTAGCCGATCGTGAAAAGTTTTCTAATTTTGGGTTGCTAACGCGCAACGAAATCAAACGAAGTTTGAAAGGTCAGGTTGAGGTCAGGGATTCCGATCCGGAGACCCAAGAACCGGTCACCGAGGTCACTGGCATTCAGAAAGGATTCAAGTTAGAGGTCCCGGAAGTTTGTGTCCGGAGACCCAGGAACCTGCCACTGAGGTCACAGGGGATCAGGAACTAACTAACCTTGAGTTCGAGGGAATACAATCCTAAGCATCAGGAACCCGTTACAAAGAATTTCGGGATCAGAGATGTCATTAAAGCAGTTACAGGAACACGAACTCTCGAGGTTCCGGATCACGAGAATCGGGATAGTGCAGTTGCGTTGGATGAGTTACTGCCTGAAAACCTCAAGCGTTTTATGAAGAATAATTCGGAAATCACAGATGACATTGATGACCTTTTTGGTCCTACCACAATTGCGAAAAACGTTTCAGATATTAATTATGAAAAATTAAACTACGGTGATATTACCGTGGACCAGCAAAAGGAACTGGTACGCATGCTAATGGATTTTACTGAGGTCTTCCCGACCGACGACCAAGGCCTGGGCACATGTAATGTGCTAACACATAAGATCGCTTTAAGACCGGAAGCCAATCCAGTCGTGGAACCGCTTCGGCGTTTCGCGGACTGGCAAAAGGTCGAGATCACTCGACAGATCCAAGATATGTTGCGAAAGGGCGTGATTAGCCCATGCGAAATTTCTGAACGATGTGCTAATGTGGTATTAGCACGGAAAAGGGATGAATCCCTGCGGTTTTGCGTCTCTTACAAATTATTAAACGAAGATACTATTTTTGATCCCTACCCGTTACCAAGAATTGATGACTGTTTAGACAGTCTAAAAAATTCGTGTTATTTTACCAGCCTTGATTTAGCCAGCGGCTACTGGCAAATTAAGATGGATGATTCTTCCAAAAATCTAACTTGCTTCCGAACGCCGGACGGCGTTTTTCAGTTTGAAGTGATGCCCTTTGGGTTACGGACGGCTCCTGCGACTTTCAGTCGTATGATGGATCGCGTCCTGGGTGACCTCAAAGGAAAAATTTTAATCCTGTACCTTGATGATGTCGAAATTTATGCCGATTCGTGGCAAAATCTTTTGGTAAATCTTCAAATCGTTTTGCAACGGCTTCGAGAAGCCGGACTCAAAATCAAACCAAGCAAATGTTTCTTCGGCAAAAAGGAATTAAAATTCTTAGGTCATATGGTGAATTCTCAGGGCATTGCCCCAGATCCGGACAACGTTCAGGCTATTGTAGCCCGTCCGGTTCCTGCATGTATCCGGGACGTTAAGGGATTCCTGGGTGCTGCTAGCCATTATCGACGATTCATCAAAATTTTTCGCGCATTGCCGCTCCGCTGCTCGAGTTAACAAGAAAAAACACACCGTTTCATTGGTCTGGTCCATCGCAGCTTGCTTTTGAAGAAATAAAAAATTCCTTAATAACAAAACCAATTCTAACTCATTTCGACAATGAGAAAGAACACGTCTTAGAAACAGATGCCAGTCTGGATGGACTGGGCGCCGTTCTAACACAGCGGGAAGCTGATGGCTTTAAGGTCGTTGCCTACGCAAGTCGTTCGTTAACCGATGCAGAGAAAAATTATCATACGTCCGAGCAAGAGCTCCTCGCTATTTTCTGGTCGGTTACTGATAAATTCCATTTTTACCTCGGAGGTCCAAAACCGTTCACAGTAGTGACGGACCATAACTCCTTAATTCCTTTGTTTAAAACACCGACCCCGAGTGGTCGTCTCGCTCGCTGGATCCTGGCTTTGCGCCCATACAACATAAGGATCCTGTACCGAAAAGGAAGTGCCAATAACGTAGCTGACTTTCTCTCCCGATCACCTTTACCACCATCGTTACCGCAGATTTGCGCATTAGTCGTACCAGATTCACCGGTCGACATCCCTGCTTTACAGGGAACCGACGAATTTTGTAAAAAGATCTTGGGAATCCTGAACGGTGCTACCGACACCGCAAAATTTCGAACGCGAATTCAGCACTACGTTGTAAAGGAGAAAATTTTGTATAGAATCGTATTTCGCGGCAACGATCCGGTGTATCTCATTGTGGTGCCTAGTTCCCTAAAGGTCACACTCTTAAGGGCATATCACGATGATCTCGGTCATCCCGGGATTACCAGGTGTTTTGAAGCTCTGTACCTTAAATATTACTGGCCGAACATGGCACACGATGTTGCGGACTACATTTCTTCATGCCATTCCTGCCAGGCACTGAAACCACCGCTAAAACCACCATATGGTTTTCTTCAACGTATCAAAATCGGTCAACCTTTCGAATGCGTGGGTATGGACTACGTTGGTCCATTCCCACCGAGCAGTAAAGGGAACCGGTACATAATTGTTGCTGTCGATCACTTGACAAAGTGGATCGAAGCGCGACCCGTGAAAGCTGCAACTGCCGCCAACGCAGCACATTTTCTGTACGAGCAAGTTATTTCCAGACATGGGTGCCCAAGGTCGATCCTTACGGATCTCGGGACTCATTTCACCGGAAGTCTCTTACAACATTTACTGCGTCTAGCACGCATTACTCATCGCACCACTACGGCGTATAATCCTAAGGCCGATGGCCTTACCGAAAGGATAAATGGTGTACTCGTTAAAGCGATTGCGCACTACGTGTCTCCGACACATAGAAATTGGGACGACCTTGTGATACCAATAACTTTTGCCTTGAATACAATGGTAAATGACACGGTCAAGGTCTCACCATTTGAATTGTTACACGGGTATAACCCGACGCATCCCATCGATAATGTTATACTACCTGGCGAAAGTCTTGATTTCGAAGAGCCTGATGAAACGCTTCCAAGTCAAATTCAGACGTACCTTAGTAACTTACGCGAGGTTGCCGGTCTCATGGCGAATCACGCACAAGATAAGACGGCTCCGCGCTTTAATGTTACCCGGCGTGAACACGCATTTGCACCTGGCGATCTAGTCCTTTTAAAAGGACCGCCAAAAGAAATTGTTTCTCCTGATAATAATCTTTCTCCAAAATTTTTAATTCGTTGGCACGGACCATGGAGGATCACCTCCCAAGTGTCCGAAGTTAATTACGAAATAGAATCCGTTCGTGGTCGGCCGAAGACTCAGGTTGTCCATGTGCAGCGCTTGCGCCACTATAGCGAGCGCTTGGACACACCGTATGTTGAGTCGGTTCTGGCAGAACCACTTAAAAGAAGGGAAAAGAGACTTGGACAACGTTGATCTCGAAAATTGTCGGGAAACAAATAATCTAATGTCCGCCCCGCCTGACGTTCCGACAACCGGAACTACCGAAATTGAGACGGTTCGACGTTCGGACCGCCTGAAACAAAAGAGAAAAATAAATATTATTAGTATTTTAATGTTTCATGTATTATCGGTTAAAATCACATAAAAATAAGTATATTTTTATTACCAAAAACAAAATCTTAAAAAAAAAACAACAGCTTCATTTCTTATGATAACTATTATCCGTTTAATTTATTTAAATTAATTTTTCTCTCTCTTTTGTTGTAGGGCGTTGATCCCAGCGGCCGTCGGATGTCACTGTGTAGATATACGGGTCTAAATCCTACGAACCTTGGTAACCATTATGTTGTGGATCATTTCCGTACAGTCAGTGATCGTATGCAGGATGACGTCTTTGCAAATAACAATAATGTTATAACGACAGTAATTTCGCGTGTGCCGAGTGTGCGCACAGTCTCGTTCATTCAGCCACAGATCCTCAGACAGTACGTTGAACCTTTTCTTGATCCCGATGAGATTGGGAGTATTCAGACAGTCAACAGTACTTTACTTGAAGACCTGAATCTGGCAGAGTTTACCTCGTATTTGAGTGCGCTTGCAGAAATTCCCACAGACCTACCATTAAAACCTTTCTTCCCGTCGCTGTACCTTGCGAAATTAGCTGTAGGGAACTATGGCCTGAAGCGCGGGTTCCCCGCACCTTTCATGTGCATTTGCTCGTCAACTCACTTGGATCCAGACAAGCCCTCCCTAATCTTCCAGTGCAATAACGAAGTTGGCAGGTGCACTGCCACAACTGTTAATTACGCCGAGCTTAGCGCACCGACCGTACAGTGTGAAAATCGTGCTCAGCGTTTTGGTGTGTACCTTCCTCCTAAACTCATACCTGTCTTCTATTGCTGGGGATGTTTTTATAAGGTCGCAAACCACGAGATATTTTCTGACGGGAATTTCCATCATCCCGATGACAGTGCTGTTGAGACTTGCCACGCGGGACACCGTTCCCGAAACGCAAAGGGTTGCATACACTGCAAATCCCGGGCTATGCAAAGGCAAGGTTATCCACGAGGCCAGCATTCGTATGCTCGATATCAACGAGATTTTAACAATAAAATTTCTCAGGATTATGCGCACTCATACTTCCGTATCGAGGAAGATATTTTCGCCGATCTAAGCGACCGAATTTGCGTAGTTCTTCGGTATGTGAGCACTAAGTCTCCTGAGTCTAGGATCATTGCTAATAACTTCTGGCTATGGATTTCTGAACAGAACGGGGGTATTCTTTTTGACACCTGCGAAACGTATATCCGAAAGCTGCAGGATCACCCACTCTGTTTCCAGTTTATGGCGATGGTCCCCGCGGACCCGAAATCCAGAGCGATGGCCTTTAAGGCACTTATGCCTTTTCTGCCATTTCATAGTGCAGTCACTATCGGCCTTTTCCCAACCTCGACGAGAGAACATTCCTGTCATGTCGCCTATCATGACACGGACGCGACTTTTGATTGCGATTGTTTCACTAATAACGCCTTACGGGGCTAGGGTTAAGTGCAGATTCTGAACTGCACAATAAGAATCGAGAGAATGGAACAGTAGTGTTTTCTCGCACAACTGACGTTTTAACCATCGCCTCTGTAATACCCGAAAAATAACGGTTCCTGTAATAAAATGACGGACGGCCGCGTTCTTTACCGCAAAGGTATTCCCGTATTCTTGTGCACTCGGTGCCTTTCTTCAGCTTATCGACACAAGGTGTGTGTTTGTACTGCAGAAGTCATTTTGGCCGAAAGTATTCCTCCGATGAGGGAATGTATTTATGGTCACAGATACCATGGTCAATGCGCTGTTAGCGACATATGTCCTCATTGCGCGTATTTGTTCCCGATGACGGAAAACGCTTCTAATGCGAGGAAGGACTCTGACAGTCCACCTCCTCTGGAAGCATATTCTGATTCCGACGCGGAATCAACCGTAACGGTGAATTTGGATGAGGAACCACAGAGAAAAGGATTGACCGTTCACAACCCCGTCTATGCTCCGGCTAAACCGGGAAATCAAGAAAGTTTTACGAGCGATGATTCAGGTCCAGAAAACGAAGCACCGCCGCCTCCGGTTCCGGCGAAGCGTATGCGCGCTGGTCTACCAAGTTTCGTAACACTTTCTCTTCTTCTTTTACTCTGTACCCTGTCGGGTACGTACGGACTGAACACTACGCTATGCGATTGCTCACGCAGCAAATACGTGGGAATTGCTGACCTTTCTGCGCGAATTCGATGCGATCAGTTGGATAGCCCTATCAGAGAAACTCATGATGTCAAGTACTATCTTCTCGACTATAAAAACATCACCCGACTTTTTCCCGGCTCCGCTTGCCGTATGATTCTGAAAAGTACGATACAAGAAGGGTTTTTCTTCGGCGGGTATAACAGCCAGAATTTTGAGGTAGCACTTCCGGTCACCGCTGACCAGTGCCGTGACATGGTCCGAACAAAGACTTGTAGTGGCAACGCAATGATTAAAAGTGGACGTACTTGGGTATACGACGTAATACCTGTGGTTGACCGCCGGTGGAACCAATTCCGCCGTGCCGACGTCGTTACCTGTCTCTTGGAGAACGTCACCCTCGAAACAACGTGTGACGACTGCCCAGTACTTTCCGCTACCGGCGAAATCTCTTCGTCGATTCTTGCCGAGTCCAGTGTTCATCCGCACGTAACTTACGTGTGGACTACTGACAAAAACCATACGAAGTGTCGCGTTAACACGGTTCTTAACAGCGAGGGACAGTTGTTCCAATTAAAATCAGGAGAGATCCACATTCGTGACCATCTACATCAACTCAGCTTTACGGTTGAGGAAAAAATGGAACGAACATGCGATGAAGGCGCATCTGTTCATTACGTTCGCTCCCATCCGACACTTCGAATAAAATTTTACCATGCTTGGTATCGTCCTAATGTCACTGAAAAAATCCGCCCTCCAGCTCGCCCACCTGTTGGCATCCAAAGTCGGTTGAATGTTAACCTTTCGGCAGAAATCGCCACCTTGCTATCGTCCCACCTTCAGTACGTTGAGGATTTCTTCGCATTTCAAGAAATGAAAATTTTCAATCACCTGCACAAGTTGCAATGCCAGGCCGATAAAACCGAAATGGAAAATCTGATACTACTTAGTCAGTTTTCCCCGGTGGTTGTCGGAACCAAACTCGGTTTCCCAAAATGCCAGGCTGCTGTAGTTCTAGGTGATTCAGCTACTATTTACCAGTGCACGGAAGTTAACGTCACGATCGGCGTAAAATACTCCACATGCGGACCAGATCCGTACATCGCAGCCGAAAATGATGACCGCGGCTACACTGTCGCTCTCGACGGTGAAACCCTTAAAAGACATTCAGTTTGCCTCCATCGGCACTCGGTAGTAATCGTACACGGAACTCTCTACCGTTACCAAGACGGTGTCTGGACTCCTGTAAATCCAATATTCCATAAAACGCTTGCGCACTGGCATTACACCGCAAAATTCCTGACGGACAACTTGGAAGACACTCTCGGTGACTCCTTGTCAGTGGATCCCTTCCGGTTTCTCGACTTGACAGCCGAGTTATCCGGCCTGATGTTGGAGACCGGTATTTCAAATTTGAGTACCATAATTACTCCAAAATATGTTCAGAGTACGATGAAGTCCATGACATGGCATAGCCTCTTAAATATTTCGTTTACTTCGATCACCGTTTTTATTGCTATGGTGTTTTGCGTTCGGTATCACCGAACGGTGATCGCGTTTTTAAGCTGTCTTATAGATTGTTGCCGCCCGCGTTCGCGCCGGCAATACGATTTTCAGGCTCGAAGGCAGGAAACGACTGCGGTCACCGCCACCGCTACGGAAACCCAGGACAGGAACCTTTCTCGGACTGTACCCACACGGACGGTGGACATTCCCATGACGCCGCGCTACCGTCCTTCGGACATGGTTCGACAGGATCCTGTCTACGCCAATGCGCGTATGGTCGCCGAGGACTCGGATGGATCAACGATCGGCGCCCGGACTCCGTCCCCGGATCACACGCTTGGCCCACGGACGGAACCGACGGTGACCTTTGGAAATGCGTTGATGGAACAGCGCCGGAAGTTGGCACCGGTTCGGTACGGAACTCCACCGACCGTGAGCAGCGTATAACCGCTTAGCATTAGCCTTATTTTTCCGCTCATGTACAGTCAGCCAGCAAATTAATTAAAAACACTCAAAAAAAAACTATTGCAAAATTTCAAAAATATTGTATTTTATGCTGTTTGTTTTTATATTTTGCTTAGATACTTCAAATCAAGTCAGGTTCTCGCTTGTATTTAGTTCAATTTAACATAGTCAGGATTATTTACTTGAATTTTCAATAAAAAGGATCATTTTATTTTGTAGAAAATTTATCAAAAAACATTGGTCAGGAAATTTCCTTGGTTACTTGTCAGATTTTAATTGCAATTTTTAAAAAAACAAAAAAGAAAGGTTCGTGAAGATCGACCCAGTTCTAATATGGGAACGCAGTTATATTAGGTTCGCTACCTGAAGCTTTAGATCGCCGAATTTTTATCAGTCATTACAGCCTTGCAGTGATCAGTGAGTGCTCGTAATAGGTAGGCAGAATTATGGCCATGGTTAACGCATTGTATTTTCGTGGTTAGCTGGAGATCTATTTTTTGGGGCAAGATTTGAAATATTAATTACAAACTTCCTACAAAGATGCTGGTGCAGCAGTTTGTTTGCTAGATGTCAAGGTGAGTATAATTGCTACAAATCTTCTAAAAAAAAAAAACTCAGTGCTTAATAAAATAACAGTGTCTGATCAGCAATCCCGTTGCTGTAGCAATACTTTGGTCCTGGGCGTGTAACAACTCTAGCTTTCGGCGCATCACTGGTTTACGAGGTGTTGAGCCGTAAGTACGCGACTTGACCGTAAGACATGCTACTAATCTACTCAGACAAATTAACAATGCACTCGTCTGTACAAGTGTACGAAAAATTCCAACATGGGGAGAGGAAGTAGACGCTAAACGCGTGTTATAGACAGGCGAACAAACAGTGTTTGAAACCAGCGCAATAAGATCATGGAAATAAGCAAATGAATTTTTTTGTACAGATTTTGCCTCAGAGAATAGGATTTTCTGTTTAATTTCGTGAATACGGTGTGGTGTTGTGGTTTTGGTGTATGGTTGACCGCGGATCAAAGTTCAAGTTCAAGTGCGACCGAATGATATCATCAACAGCATCGCATTTATTATGAAAATGAGTCAGGGAATCTAAATCCAAAAACATTTATAAAATGAAAATTTGGTTTAACCCAGGTTTTCCCTAAAAGCGTTACGAAAATAAAATACCAATTATTCCGCTGTATTACCTATATTTCTTATAACCGTATCAAGTATAAATATTATTTGCATAATAATACCTGTTTTTTCTTGGATGTGTTTCGAAAATTTCTAAACGCAAAAATAGCTGCTTTATCGTATTGCTGGTTGACTCGCTTTTCTGCTTTTCTTGTCTAGTTATGGACTGCGGACAGTCCTTTTTACACGGGGAGAAGTGTCACGTATAGATTCTTTGAGCGATATTCGCCTGCGCTAGCCTTCGACTGATCATAAGGGCGATATGCCCATGAATGTTATTATCTGATAGACCGTTCCACTTGTTGCCGTTTTATACCGCTGCTTTTTCACTTTTCGGACACAGTTACAATGGTGCAGCCTAATTTCCTTCAACAACAATCCCTGACTCGCATTTGCCGTCTCGTTCGTTGCCGTTAATGCATATTTCCGTAAACACTGCATATTAGACTACGAAACCGGCCGGTCTTATACCGCCGTGACCTTTCAGTTTATTTCGCTCTGCCAATTATTCATGTAACAGAACTCAATAACTGCGTGGTGAAACTGCCCCAAAGTCTGCTTTTAATAGTTATTCGATGCGCTGAGCACGAATCTGAAATTGTTTTGCAAAAAAAGTTTCCCCAGTAAAAGTTACTGTCAGACGTGTCACATTTTCACCATGTTGTCAGAACTCAATAACTACGTGGTGAAACTGCTCCAAAGTCTGCTTTTAAGGGTTATTCGATGCGCTGAGCACGAATCTGAAATTGGTTTGCAAAAAAATTTCACCAGAAAAAGTTACTGTCAGACGTGTCACATTTTCGCCATGTTGTCAGAACTCAATAACCGCGTGGTGAAACTGCTCCAAAGTCTGCTTTTAAGGGTTATTCGATGCGCTGAGCACGAATCTGAAATTGGTTTGCAAAAAAATTTCACCAGAAAAAGTTACTGTCAGACGTGTCACATTTTCGCCATGTTGTCAGAACTCAATAACTACGTGGTGAAACTGCTCCAAAGTCTGCTTTTAAGGGTTATTCGATGCGCTGAGCACGAATCTGAAATTGGTTTGCAAAAAAATTTCACCAGAAAAAGTTACTGTCAGACGTGTCACATTTTCGCCATGTTGTCAGAACTCAATAACTGCGTGGTGAAACTGCTCCAAAGTCTGCTTTTAATAGTTATTCGATGCGCTGAGCACGAATCTGAAATTGGTTTGCAAAAAAAATTTCACCAAAAAAAGTTACTGTCAGACGTGTCACATTTTCGCCATGTTGTCAGAACTCAATAACTACGTGGTGAAACGGCTCCAAAGTCTGCTTTTAAGGGTTGTTCGATGCGCTGAGCACGAATCTGAGATCGGTTTGAAAAAAAATTTCACCAGAAAAAGTTACTGTCAGGCGTGTCACATTTTCGCCATGTTGTCAGAACTCAATAACCGCGTGGTGAAACTGCTCCAAAGTCTGCTTTTAAGGGTTATTCGATGCGCTGAGCACGAATTTCAAGTCGGTTTGCAGAAAAAATTTCACCGAAAAAAGTTATGGAAAAGTTGACTATTCACCGGCATTTTTAGATCTCAATAACTACGTGGTGTAACTGCTCAAAAGTCTGCTTTTAAGGGTTATTTGATGCGCTGAGCACGAATCTGAGATCGGTTTGCAAAAAAAATTTCACCAGAAAAAGTTACTGTCAGACGTGTCACATTTTCGCCATGTTGTCAGAACTCAATAACTGCGTGGTGAAACTGCTCCAAAGTCTGCTTTTAATAGTTATTCGATGCGCTGAGCACGAATCTGAAATTGGTTTGCAAAAAAAATTTCACCAGAAAAAGTTACTGTCAGACGTGTCACATTTTCGCCATGTTGTCAGAACTCAATAACTGCGTGGTGAAACTGCCCCAAAGTCTGCTTTTAATAGTTATTCGATGCGCTGAGCACGAATCTGAAATTGTTTTGCAAAAAAAGTTTCCCCAGTAAATGTTACTGTCAGACGTGTCACATTTTCACCATGTTGTCAGAACTCAATAACTACGTGGTGAAACTGCTCCAAAGTCTGCTTTTAATAGTTATTCGATGCGCTGAGCACGAATCTGAAATTGGTTTGCAAAAAAAATTTCACCAGAAAAAGTTACTGTCAGACGTGTCACATTTTCGCCATGTTGTCAGAACTCAATAACTACGTGGTGAAACTGCTCCAAAGTCTGCTTTTAAGGGTTATTCGATGCGCTGAGCACGAATCTGAGATCGGTTTGCAAAAAAATTTCACCAGAAAAAGTTACTGTCAGACGTGTACATTTTCGCCATGTTGTCAGAACTCAATAACTGCGTGGTGAAACTGCTCCAAAGTCTGCTTTTAAGGGTTATTCGATGCGCTGAGCACGAATCTGAGATCTGGTTTGCAAAAAAATTTCACCAGAAAAAAGTTACTGTCAGACGTGTCACATTTTCGCCATGTTGTCAGAACTCAATAACTACGTAGTGAAACTGCTCCAAAGTCTGCTTTTAAGGGTTATTCGATGCGCTGAGCACGAATCTGAGATCGGTTTGCAAAAAAAATTTCACCAGAAAAAGTTACTGTCAGACGTGTCACATTTTCGCCATGTTGTCAGAACTCAATAACTGCGTGGTGAAACTGCTCCCAAAGTCTGCTTTTAAGGGTTATTCGATGCGCTGAGCACGAATCTGAAATTGGTTTGCAAAAAAAATTTCACCAGAAAAAGTTACTGTCAGACGTGTCACATTTTCGCCATGTTGTCAGAACTCAATAACTGCGTGGTGAAACTGCTCCAAAGTCTGCTTTTAAGGGTTATTCGATGCGCTGAGCACGAATCTGAAATTGGTTTGCAAAAAAATTTCACCAGAAAAAGTTACTGTCAGACGTGTCACATTTTCGCCATGTTGTCAGAACTCAATAACTACGTGGTGAAACTGCTCCAAAGTCTGCTTTTAATGGTTATTTCGATGCGCTGAGCACGAATCTGAAATTGGTTTGCAAAAAAATTTCACCAGAAAAAGTTACTGTCAGACGTGTCACATTTTCGCCATGTTGTCAGAACTCAATAACTACGTGGTGAAACTGCTCCAAAGTCTGCTTTTAAGGGTTATTTCGATGCGCTGAGCACGAATCTGAGATCGGTTTGCAAAAAAATTTCACCAGAAAAGTTACTGTCAGACGTGTCACATTTTCGCCATGTTGTCAGAACTCAATAACTGCGTGGTGAAACTGCTCCAAAGTCTGCTTTTAAGGGTTATTCGATGCGCTGAGCACGAATCTGAAATTGGTTTGCAAAAAAATTTCACCAGAAAAGTTACTGTCAGACGTGTCACATTTTCGGCATGTTGTCAGAACTCAATAACTACGTGGTGAAACTGCTCCAAAGTCTGCTTTTAAGGGTTATTTCGATGCGCTGAGCACGAATCTGAAATTGGTTTGCAAAAAAATTTCACCAGAAAAAGTTACTGTCAGACGTGTCACATTTTCGCCATGTTGTCAGAACTCAATAACTACGTGGTGAAACTGCTCCAAAGTCTGCTTTTAAGGGTTATTCGATGCGCTGAGCACGAATCTGAAATTGGTTTGCAAAAAAATTTCACCAGAAAAAGTTACTGTCAGACGTGTCACATTTTCGCCATGTTGTCAGAACTCAATAACTGCGTGGTGAAACTGCTCCAAAGTCTGCTTTTAAGGGTTATTCGATGCGCTGAGCACGAATCTGAGATCGGTTTTGCAAAAAAAATTTCACCAGAAAAGTTACTGTCAGACGTGTCACATTTTCGCCATGTTGTCAGAACTCAATAACTGCGTGGTGAAACTGCTCCAAAGTCTGCTTTTAAGGGTTATTTGATGCGCTGAGCACGAATCTGAAATTGGTTTGCAAAAAAAATTTCACCAGAAAAGTTACTGTCAGACGTGTCACATTTTCGCCATGTTGTCAGAACTCAATAACTACGTGGTGAAACTGCTCCAAAGTCTGCTTTTAAGGGTTATTCGATGCGCTGAGCACGAATCTGAGATCGGTTTGCAAAAAAATTTCACCAGAAAAAGTTACTGTCAGACGTGTCACATTTTCGCCATGTTGTCAGAACTCAATAACTACGTGGTGAAACTGCTCCAAAGTCTGCTTTTAAGGGTTATTCGATGCGCTGAGCACGAATCTGAAATTGGTTTGCAAAAAAATTTCACCAGAAAAAGTTACTGTCAGACGTGTCACATTTTCGCCATGTTGTCAGAACTCAATAACTACGTGGTGAAACTGCTCCAAAGTCTGCTTTTTAAGGGTTATTTCGATGCGCTGAGCACGAATCTGAAAGTCGGTTTGCAAAAAAATTTCACCAGAAAAAGTTATGTCAAACGTTGACATTCACCGGCATGTTGTCAGAACTCAATAACTGCGTGGTGAAACTGCTCCAAAGTCTGCTTTTAAGGGTTATTTCGATGCGCTGAGCACGAATCTGAAATTGGTTTGCAAAAAAATTTCACCAGAAAAGTTACTGTCAGACGTGTCACATTTTCGCCATGTTGTCAGAACTCAATAACTGCGTGGTGAAACTGCCCCAAAAGTCTGCTTTTAATAGTTATTCGATGCGCTGAGCACGAATCTGAAATTGGTTTGCAAAAAAATTTCACCAGAAAAGTTACTGTCAGACGTGTCACATTTTCGCCATGTTGTCAGAACTCAATAACTACGTGGTGAAACTGCTCCAAAGTCTGCTTTTAAGGGTTATTCGATGCGCTGAGCACGAATCTGAAATTGGTTTGCAAAAAAATTTCACCAGAAAAGTTACTGTCAGACGTGTCACATTTTCGCCATGTTGTCAGAACTCAATAACTGCGTGGGTGAAACTGCTCCAAAGTCTGCTTTTAAGAGTTATTCGATGCGCTGAGCACGAATCTAAAATTGGTTTGCGAAAAAAATTTCACCAGAAAAAGTTACTGTCAGACGTGTCACATTTTCGCCATGTTGTCAGAACTCAATAACTACGTGGTGAAACTGCTCCAAAGTCTGCTTTTAAGG